GTCCCAATATAAATCCCAATTAAATTTTTTGACAAGGCTTTTCTGCATTTTTAAATTAAAATGCAATTGGCAACCTCAATAACACACAAAACATTGATGCACATCTGAAGAGTAGAGACAAGATTCTTTCTTTTGTTTTTTGTTTTTTTTTAAGACAGAGTTTCTCTGTATAGCCCTGGCTGTCCTGGAACTCACTCTGTAGACCAGGCTGGGTTCGAACTCAGAAATCCACCTGCCTCTGCCTCCCAAGTGCAGGGATCAAAGGCGTGGGCCACCACTGCCCTGCTAGAGACAAGATTCTAAGTAACTACCCAAATTACATAAATAGTTACTAAGCTGTTTAACTATTTAATGGCAGCGTTTCTTTTTGATAGTAGTTCATATATTTTGAGTCATAATAATAAACTTTCAATTATTAGTGACTTTTCTCATTTGAATAATATCTCTAAAGATGTACATGCTATAAAAGTTTACTAAAATAACACCGAAGAGTAAATGGAACATTTACTTCAGAAAAGTAAGACTCAACATAGTAATTAATATCGAATACGTGATTTTAAAAGATACTTGCAAGAATAAGTAATCACTGAATGTCGGAGGAGCATGTTCATATAGCTGATGTCTATGGACATACCACTATACCACCAGATTCCAACCTCACCCATGAACTCTTTTGGAGATAGTAATCTATCAATGCTAATTTTTCAATGTCACCAACTCAGTAATTGGTCTTCAGTCTTATAACCATAAGGTGCACCTAAAATAGGTTTCAGTGAGTCAATAAAACCTTTCAATCATAATTTCTAGGAGACACAGGAAAGGTAAGTGAGTTACAGGAAAATCAAGTTATGTTTAAATGACAAAAGACCACACGGTATATTTCAAGGTCAACCTAAATCATGTCACTTCTAATATACACACAAATGAAATAAAAATATATTTTTGTACTTTAAAATTAATACGTAGGTAAATATCTTGAGTGATGAGAAATGTGGAAATATGTCAAAAAATGGGAAGAAATTCTAAAGCAGAATCAAAATGATCAGGAACATTAAACACACATCATTCATGCCTCTAAAAATCCAGGGCAACTGAGGCAATCCAGTGGAATTGAATAAACTAAATAACAATGGCTGAAGATTTATCAATAAATTATCTTCTTTTCTTACTGAGCCTTAACTTCTTATATCAAAAATGGTGGTTGACCTACAGAACTAAGACTTGATGAAAAGTTAGGGATGTTTGTCCACTTGAGGATAAGAAGAAAAATACATCTGAATTCATTTTTTTATTTTAATTTAGCATTATTTCTCTGTAACTTGGAAACAAGAAGAAAAGTAAAATGGTTTTAACTAAACATGACACAATACTATCTTTAAGCCAAATTATCACATTTATCCTTATAAGTTTCAAGATTTACACTATGTCATAAAATCTGCATCATAGCATTGGCTTACTAAGTGATCTTCCACCATTAGATGTTCATTTGGGTATTTTAATTCTGTGATATTTAAACACTAAATGAGACATAAAAATTCTAAACAACTAATAGACAGAATTCAACAACAAATAGTGACATTTAAGATCTCTAACATCAAAATGTGTTCTTCACATTGAAATTACATGTAAGTATAAATTGCATATTTAATTATATATTAAAACATTTAAAATGTATAAGGAGGTCAAATAATTTCTGTGTATAAATTGCAAAATTCTATTAACAAAGAATTTTATTCAAAAGTAGTTTCTAATGCAAACTAGTGAGAAACAGACCGCTTGGATCAAAAAGTTTATTCACAATCCTAAACTTTACCCATAATAATTTGTGTCACTAATAAAAAATTAATTTCTTGTTCCATGAAATTAAGTTATATCAAGAGATAATGAAGCAGTTTGTAACAGACACAAGTAAATCACTTTACCATTCTTTGTTTTTAAGATCTGATATAAATGGAGGCTTTGAATGTATAAAAATTGCTATTTTGGAAAATTTCATGAATAGGTTGAAAATCGTCAAATGCTGGTGTGTTACAGTGGGGTACAAATAAATGTATATATATACATGCAGACCCATAAATTCTCATCAAGGTCTTAGTTCTAAAGGAAATCTGCCATTTTTGATATAGGAAGTCACTGGTTTAGTAAGAAAGGAAGCTAATTTCTTGATTGGACTCCCTCATAGTTGCCATTTAAATCATTAATATATGTGCTTTATTGCATATAGGACAGAAGAAACAAACCAATGACACTGAAATCTGTATTAAACTGGACACATTGTCAATAACTTTTTATTTGTAACAGTACACCGTATTAAAAGCTCTATATGGTAACTTGATCTCAAGAATAAGTGTAAGTTATACAATTGCTTTTATTAAACCTGAAATTCAAAGAAATTAAAAAGTACTCATTAATCAACTGGTCATTGAAAATAATTTAATTTCTTGGGGAAAATTTAATTCTTTTTTTTCTGTGAATGGCTTTAAGTTATATCTCCTTGAAATTAAACATGGACATCATTCTAATTCCTTTATCTTAAGAGGCAAAATTCAATAAGAAATTAAAATATAAAAGAGTGCAAAAGGTTTTTTGTTATTCATCTATGAATGTAGGTTTTAAAATATTGTGTATATTTAATACAACTTAAACATATTAACTTAAAGACTAAAATATGAAATCATATGGCCTGAAATATATAAACTTTTGAAAATTTTCATTACATGGTATATGCAATTTTAGGCTAATATTTATGCTTCATATTTGCTAAATTTCTGGAGGAAGTACCTTTAATTGACAAATACAGCATATAATAGTGCTCAAAGAATTCTAGATGCTGACAAGAATGCATCATTATATAAGTTGAATGAGTCTTTATTAATTAGCATAATTTCTTATCAATATGTCTAGAGTCTCCAATTATACTTAAGGATGAGCATAGATCTCATTTTTCTTCCTGTCAAAACTCATTAAAAAGCATTTAGAACACATACACATATATTCCTATAAAGAAATAGTGTTAAATTTTTCACTACAAATGTGAATATCTAAGTCATGAAACTCAAACACACACAATAAATTCAAACAGGACAGCTTATAAAAGTCTGGATAGAATGTCTTGAACACCCCTACAAGTTTCAGTCACTGTCGTCATGAGAAACATCAAGAGCTTTATTTCATACCGCATCTCTCCTGCTCTCTGCTTCTGACATCTACATAGATTTTGATTTATCCATTTCATTTAGGTGGCTGCTTTTAATGTACCCATTTTAATCATGAGGTGACACAGGCAAAACTCATATTTAACCTGCCTCTTGTCAACATGAGTGAGGAAGAACTCAACTTCAAATACACAACAAACAAGTAATCACAAACAAATCTGGTCCCTGAAAGCCTAAGAGACTGAAGAAGCACAAGGAGCAGCACTGTAACAAGTTCCGGGCCGGCAGACAACTGCTCACTTTTTACTGTGAACTCTTGGCTGTTTTAGCATCTACACGATGGAAGTATCTCCCTTGTCTAGTTCTTTGTTTGTCCTTAAATTAAACTTAGCGTAAGGTATAATGTTGAAGAAAGGGCTTTTTCTCTTTAAAATGTTAGCTGACCTCTCTGAGCGCCCAGACAGTTTCAATAATCCTTCTAGACTCTGACTACTCTACAGTATTCAACTCAAGAAGTCTGAAGCATATGCTCTGTTGTGCAACAAAGAGAGCAAATAAAAACATCTTGAACAATAAAGACATCAAAGAGTACGTCATATACACCCTATGGAGTCTCAATTCACTGAAAACTTCAAATGAGAACTTTTCATCCCCCTCCAAAAAAAATGTTAGGGAATTATTTATTCATGTGTATACACTTTTAAACATATAAAGAGTCTGGGATTGAGAAAACTGCATTCTCTTTGAGCTACAGGTATCCTGGAATTACTCTATATCCTTTATCTATAATTAGAATTATCTATATCCTTTCAGATAAATACTAGGAGAAATCTAGAGCCAAGTCTGCCAGTGGGCATAGACTTCAGAAAGTCTTACACTTTTACCATCTGACTTGGCTGGACTCTCAGTGCTCATACTAAGAGAATTCCGCGCTACTGCTCTCTTCCTTTGGAGAAGTGTGGACTTCTCGCACCCTTGCTCAGGAGAGTTGGTTGGTTCTGTAGGGAGGCTCTGTGGATGATGGGATTTGGGTAGAAAGTAGAAGCTACTCCCTGCTCTCTCTATGCTCAGCACATCTTCCTCCAATCAAGAGTGCTTTTCCTGCTGGGTGCTGAAGGACAAGCTGTGCTTGTCAGTGAGAAAAGCTGTGTGGGTTTTGTTTTCTAACATGTTTCCTACTGTCTGTACTTGTGACACAGTGATCACCTTCCACCCATATTCCTAAACTCTACAGAGTGACCAGCTGAAAGTAATGGGCTGATGGGAATATTCTGCTTAGTTTCCTACAGAAAACTTCTCAGGAGAGAAGTTTCCCGTCAGTCCCTCAGCAAAAAGCCAAGAAACAAAGTCTTTCTGAGACCCTCACTCAATCTAGCCAATTCCCCTAAGCCACCAGCCACGTGGCTCCCTGCTCCATCCGACACCCACACCTCCATTCACCTTCAAGCTGCCTAAACTGAAAGATGTCACAGGATCACTTGGGGTTAGGGTTCCTTTCTATTTTTAGGAGGTCCTGTTGAAATAGGGAGAGACTGATGGAGTGTGGTGGACAGAGAGCTTCCTGAAGTGTCAGGAAAACCTTCAAGCAGAGCTTTCCTAAGATTCTAAGATTCCTTCCTTTTTCTACACCCAATTCTCATCCCACGCCCATCAGATAAATAAATGGAATATATGTTTCTTTCAAAAACACCACGAAACCAAAAAACATCACGAAAGCTTCCAAACCCCATCAGTCAACTCATTCCTCCCGATATGTCCTATTAGATGAGAGAGAGAGAGAGAGAGAGAGAGAGAGAGAGAGAGAGAGAGAGAGAGAGAGAGAGAGAGAGAGAGAGAGAGAATTACCAGAGTTTTGTTCCCGTTCTTGCTGAGAGGGCCCCGGAAAACTCCCTTGATGTTGCGAAAGTGTCCGTTGCTGAGATGCGTGGAGCTGATGACAATGTAGTAACACTCCATGGGGCAGCCGCCGCCTCTCCCCCGCAGCCGCCGCTTCCACGCACCCGCGCCCGCAGCCGCGGCCGAGGCCGGGAGGGTGGGCTGGGGATCGCGGCAGGGCGAGCGGCCGGCTGTGCGACGGCGGTGGGCACGCGGGTTCCTTATGCCCGACTGCGGTGCGCGCCCTGCCGCCTCCGCATGCCGGCCGCGCTCGCCTTGGCTCCGGCGCAGTGCTCGCCTGGAGATAAGAACCGGGACGTAGAGCCCCAGGGGAGGATGCAGCCACGAGGGGGGCCGGGCCGGGTGGGACCGGGCGGGAGCGGTCAGAGCCCGCGCGGTAGGGCGCAGCCGGGCAGCGGGAGCCGCCCGCGCGGCAGTGGCAGCGGCCGCAGCATCCCCCGCGCCGGGCGCCCGCACTTGCAGTCGCTGCCGCTGGCAGGCATGAGTGTTATTATAGTGCGCGGCGTTGCCGGTCCATCGCACTGAGCCAATGGCAGGGAGCCACTGGGCTGATACTGAGAGCTGTCAGAGGAGTACATCTGTCACCCGCCACCTCCCCCTCGCCTCCCCCGCCGCAGGGACCCACGGCCGCGCCAGCCTGGCCACGAGTGGGAGTGCGTCGCGACCGCCAGGGGCCGGGAGGCGACGGCCGGTTACAAGTGCGAGACTCTAGCGAGGTGCGGGCGGAGGTTGGGGGGTTGGGGAGCAACGCGACCGCCGCGGCTTCTGCTCTGCGGGTTGGAGTGCGGGCGGGGGAGCAGGGGAAATAAATAAATTAATAATTTAGTACCCAAGCCATCCGCTTCCAATTGCAGCGAATCGGGGCAGGTGCCAGGTGCCACTGGGTTTGGTTTAGGGGAGTCTGCGCTTTGATGCATCTTTTGTATGGAATACCCCGCACCCTCGCGCCCCCAATTACACATATCACAAGTGCTATATGCTAAGAGTTTGGGGGAGGGGATTTGTGGCGACGCGAGTGGAAGTGGGGAGAAGGGAGACGCAGGGACTCCTGATGGATGTGTTCCCATTCCTGGAGCTCTCCCCTCATCCACCTCCCCTGGGAGCATCAGTTCTTCCTAAATTGCCAAAGCTGAGAAGAAAAGGATGCTTTGCGGCAAAAGAAGCCGCTGCCAGGAGCTCCCATACAAGAGAGGTGCTGAACAAAAACAGAAGCCTTCGCCCTAGAAGCGACCTGAAAGGAAAAGCTGCACTCAAACTACTGCGCTTGTCACAGAAAGTAGGGAATGGGGTCTACTGTCTTCAGCAGAGAGAGATTCGGGTTGGATTTTAAAGAGTCAAGGCAGCCATCAGCAAGGACTGCTTCTATCCTAACCCTTCCCAGGTGATCCACTGTCTGTGTAAGTTTAGCTCCTTTGAGAAGGCTGAGTGAGAGCGCCATAGATATACACACCATAGATCTGCTACTACCATAGGACTCATTAGTCGGCACTTAAAAAGATCGATATCAGGCATGGAGGCTGGGACATGGTGCCTTCAATGGATTTACTGAAGGCTTTATTTTCCTTTTGCTTTGAAAGGCTTAATTGGTTAAAGCAGATTCCAGACATTCTGAAGCCCCTATGACAGAGCAATCTGCAGTCCGATGTAAGCTGTGCTTTATCTTGTTTATCTGTGGGTCAAGATTACAATGCAGTCGAGTAAGTGTGCCCTATATATAGAATTTTAGGTAGCAATGACCGTCCCCTCCCCATAAGCTATATTATGGTACTTAACTGAATCTGATAGTTTTATTTCACTTTTTCAAAGAAGATACAATGGGGGAGTCTACCTAAAAGAGGTGATAATCATTTTAGTGAATTATAAATTATAGGGTATAGCGGGGGAGTGTTAGATTTATATAAAAAGAAATTTTCCACGTATCATGCTTCAATTAGAAAATACTTGATGCGTATTGATTAAAGCTCATTATGAAGTGTCGGCTCTTTTAGAAGAAGCAGACTAAATTTCTCTGATATCCACTTGGGGGAGTCTGGAAGTCTTGGGAGAAAGAGAAGTAGAAACTCAGAAAACTTGTGTGCTTTGTGGAGGAAGTCACCCAGAAATATGTAGAACTCAGAATGAACCCAATCGCGTTGGAGAAAATATTCAATGTTGGAAATTAAAGGATCTTCTGGCTCTCTTCTTTGCAGAACTGTTTTATTATTATTTTTTTTTTATTTACCAGTCAAGCATGTAGGCTTTCTCTGCAGACATCTCTTAAGGAATGGAGACTCATAACAATATATTTGGAGTTTTCAAAAATATTATTAGAGAGGAAAATGTATTGAGTTCCATAAAGTAAAGGCACACCCACATAAGATTGAGTCATATGTATTTAGTTTTTGTAAATACATAACTCAGAATAATATAAGCTAGGTTTGTTTGCAAACCATTTTTACACAGAATATTTCTTATGTGATGGTCAGATCTTTGTAGCAAAGAGTTCAATGTCTAGTTCAGAAAATAAGAAATAGCTACCTGAATTTTTCCACAGAAGAGCAGACAGCTGTGTTGAATGCCATATTGTTCTTCTAGAGGAGATATGAACATGCTCATGTCTTCACATAATGCACATGTGTATAGTATGGTAATACAGACACATGTATTTGTATAACATGCACACACATATACATATACAATTGTACATACATGCTTAAATAGTTATGCTGTCAATGTTGTTCAGTTTGTTTGTTCACAAAAGCTCAGATAATGCTGAGTGACTGCAGTTCCAAGTTAATCTAATTTGCGCATCATTTGGTTGAGTCTTAGGAAGTTATCTAGACAGCAAAAGCATCTCAAGATTTGTGTGACAAGAAATAGAGGCTGCGCATGAGTCCTCAGTGTATGCCTATGCACAGGCATACCATAAAAATAAACTTCAGTGAAAAGCCTCAACAATCTTTGGCAAGAATCATTCTCCTGTCAGAATATGTTAAATAGTTACATCCTTGAAATAAAGGAGTAGAGCACTGGTCACAGGAAACCTTCTTTTTTTTAAAATTACATATAACAGCATAGATTTACCACCAGTTCATGAAGGATACTAGCAGTCATAAAAAAAAGTCAAATGTGTGTATAAAATATAGCCATATTGTTTCTTTATACACAAATAAAGAGTAACTCAATGCTATTGCCAAGTTTCTTTACCTATAATTTGAGCAAATTTAGTGTTCATAGCCAAAATAATCATTAAAATGAAACTAGTAGCCATTCTTAATAGTCACTGTGGCCCATACACACTTCACCATTACAACATTATGACTATTCTGAAGAAAACCACATTATTGTGGAAAACATGCTTCCAACACTAAGTAACAAACACTGGGTATAAATGGGGATTTTATTTAATTTTTATCAAGTATTTAATGTAGAAAATAAGGTTTTCTACTCATCTAAAGAATGATACTAGTTTTTCAATAATAAATTATAGTTATGGTGGTCTATTTCTATTACTTAAAAACTATCCTGGTATCTTAAGACCTTGAATAGCTATTGTGGCATGTACTGTTTTAGAGAGCTATGACATTTTCATTTTAAAATATAATGTTGTTTTGTCTATAGCACCCTTATATGACTTAAGTATATAACTACTTATTATAAATATGCAGACTCAATATACCTTAGTTACTAATTGTTTACAATATTTTATGGGTTAGTTATAGATCACTTGTGCTCAATTGCCATCTCTGGCTGATAAGAGAATTAAATTTTGAAATATAAAATATGCATTAGTTTAAGATCTGTAATTTACTTTTGCTTCATCTAGTTCAGTTTTTCCTCTTCTAGAATTACATTTCAAAAAATAAATAAAACTCCTGCACTCTGTGCTTGCTCTCACCATGTTTTCCTAAACTCAGATCAGATCTGAACATCAGGCTGCTGTTATGTCCTGAGCATTGCTCTATATGTGCACCTAGCTTACACCGGACTTCAGGACAGTGGTGTTACTCTAACATAAAAGAACAAGATCTCAGGTAAAGAGAAGACCAATGGCTGAATCTCTTGGACCTGATCCCTTATCTTGATTCACCCAGCACAGTTGATTTCAAGGGAGTAAATCTAGTCTGTGTAGTTAATGGATGCCATATGTTACAACCGTCGGTTACTGTCATAGAAATCACTAGATGTTTTTACTCTATCTAAATAACTTTACAGAACACAGTTAAATGACCCAGAAATTAGGTCAAGTGCTGAATTTCAGTCACCCAGCTTTATTTACATTTCCTTAACTGAGATTTTATTTTTCTGCTAGTTACCCTTGGAAAAACAAACAAACAAACAAACAAACAAAATGCATATGTCATGAGTGTTTGTGATAGATTCCCAGAACAGTTTGGATGAAGTGTATACCCATCTGACTAGATAATATGTAACTAAGTGCTTCATCTGTTTGAATTCTACGTTTGCATATATTTTGAATTTTGCTGATGCCAAATATTATTGATTTCATTATGTTGATCCAATAAAGAAGAATCACATAATTCAACAGATTCATGACTTATTTGTTCTAATATAAGGCCAAATTATATCATGGTATCCTTACAAAAAGTTGCTGTATAGTTATTGGAAACATGTAATGATGATATCACCACAGAGCGCGCACAGGAGCCATGAACCTCAGATACTTTGAGACCAGTGTTGACAAACAGTCGTAAACAGATTCATGTTTAAGCAGTTTCAGCAAGGCAACATCATCTGTTGTATTAAATTAAGATTGTAAATTGAATATTTTGTCTGTTGTATTTTTATTTGCCTTCTTTTTTGTTTTGTTTTTACATAAGTTCTATAAGCATATGGGGTTGTATAATTAGTTTGATGGGAACAAATTTAAGTAAAATTATGCCATGAGTAAATTTCTCTGTGAAGAAATCTTTAAAAAGAATATACACTCTATTCAAATATGAGAAACAATGGTATAAACAAGGTATGAAGTATATCATAATCAAATAAGCAGTACTGACCTTATCTCCAGGCAATAACAATATCGTATGGCTTATTGATCGATGATAATTCACAAAGTTATTGTCAAATTACTCTTCCTTTAATTGATTCCATACAGACATTTCTGATTTCCCATTTTAATTTTATATGCTGAGACACAAACTTAAGCTCTGTAAATTTAATATCACTCAATCCACTACAATATAG